TAATATAGGACTTGAGGACCTAAGGGTACCCCTATAATATAGGCCTTGAGGACCTAAGGGTACCCCTATAATATAGGACTTGAGGACCTAAGGGTACCCCTATAATATAGGACTTGAGGACCTAAGGGTACCCCCATAATATAGGACTTAAGGACCTCAGGCTCCCGATATATCCCAATTTATAGGACCTCAAAATTGGGGAAACACAACCTTTGCGTGAGGATGGAAGAGATTTGAAGTTACCAGTTACCGTTACCGAGTAACGCAGAGTTACCGTTACCCGGTAACTAGTAACGCAAAAGTTACTAGTTACCAAGTAACTAGTAACGCAAAAGTTACGAGTTACCAAGTAACTGGTAACGCAAAAGTTACTAGTTACCAAGTAACTGGTAACGCAAAAGTTACTAGTTACCCGGTAACTAGTAACTCCTGCGTTACTAGTTACTTGGTAACGTAACGGTAACTTCCCTCCCCTAGGATAGTTACTATGATTAAGTCAATCTATTAACAATTTTTTGACCTCTTTTTTTTCTAAAAAAATCTAATGGAATTTTGTTAGATCATGTCATTTGTATTCTAGCATTACTAGTTATGTTATATCGATTTATTTTCGATAGGTTAGTCATAAGTCATCTAATGTTAACTGACTTATTGAAGATGAATTGTCAAAGATCGTTGTTCATGAAGACGGATAGTTACTATATTAAAAATTATCCAAAGCCTATTGTTAATGAAATATGGAAATAAACATGGAAAAAATTGATTGACGTCATACTCATCCAATGTTATTAATTCTATGATAGAATAGGGCATCAATATAGTATCATATTTGCCAATCCTGATACTAGAATTTTTGATTAATTAATTCTATCGAATATAGTTTAAGTGATTAAATAAATGAAATATAACTAGCTCATATGGTTTCCAAGGTAGTAAAAATCTTTAATAGATTGACTTAATCATGGCAACTATCCGCAACATTTGATAAAATAAAATTAATATATCTCTGCATCTCTATTAGAACTTTAGGTCAGATCTAAGTATAATAATACTAAAGTATGTTTAACTAACGTCGATAATTAAAAGTAAGTCTTTCATATTGATCAGCAGAAAGAAAACGACTTATTTAATGAAGATTCATTCTAAAATAATAATAACAATTATATTTAGAAAAAATACAATGAAAGATAAAATCAAACTCTTGATCAGATGAATAATTAAATCCAATAGCATAATCTCTAATAAAATCTTTTAATTATAATCTTCTTCTTAAAATTTGTCCATATGAATGTAATAATGATAATTTAGCATTATGTAATAATGTTATTGAATTATTATCTTGTTTTTGTTGTTCTGTTTGTTGTTGTTCATCATGATTTAATTATTGATCATTATTTAAAATTGGTAAACGATTTTCAGGTTGATTTAAATATTCTCTTTGATATTCATCTCTACAAGGCATATGTGTTAATAATTTTTGTTGTTCACTATCAATTAACATAGGTGGATAAATTAAATATTTTAATTGAATATTATTTCCATTAATATGATTTTCACCATGTAATTGTTTATTATTTTTAAATGATTGAAAAATAAATATAATATGACTTGTTTGACGTGATAAATAAATATCTTCAAAATGATTTTGACAATCATTTGGATTTTATAACATTTTTAAAGCAATATCATTTCAATTTCCTAATCCACATGATTCAATCATTTCAATTAAATTTATTTCATCATTTGATAAAAATTCACTTATACAATTATCATCCAATGGAATATCATTTAACTTTTTTAAACAAAAATGTTTTTTTCTTTTGTAAAATTCAATAAAATTTACCTTATACGTTGGTTATGGATGATGTTTAGAGTGTTCATGTAATTGATTTACATTTACTGAACATTTAACAGAAATATTTATTTGACTAGATTGATTATATTTTAAACAATATATTATTAATGATGATGGACGAATACAACAATAATCACATTTTGACATTTCAATCTTTTAAATATTTCAATTCGAATTTATCTATTCAATAAAGCAAAAAAAAATTAAATTACATTTATTCTCTTATGAAACTTAGATAAAATTTATTTTAGTTGATATATTTTTTATTCTGTTTAAGAAATTATTTTCAAAATTATTACTTGATGAACTCAATTTGATTGAATCAACAAACGATAAATAAATATTAACTAATCAAATTCATTTTTGAAAATCAATTAACGAGGACGCTACTTTTTTATATCGAACTATTTCAATATAAAACGATTATTTATTTCAAATAAAATTGTTCGTTGACAATTATACTTTAGCGATTTTCCTTGATTACAATGAGACGAATATAACAGTAGCTTCAGCCAGAGATGGAACCGGTCTACCGGCATCTGATCGGTCTACCGGCAACCGACTGGTCTACCGGTAACCGGCCGGTCTACCGACAACTGATCGGTCTACTGGTGATTCACCGGTCTACCGGCAACCAACCAGTCTACCAGTAGCGCATGATGTATCGGTAATTCACAGTCAGAAAAGACTGGCGTAGTATGGGAAACATGGTCTATCGCGTGACAAACCTGATTCACCAAGTTGATCAGATACCTGATGTAAAGATGGCACCAGTTTGAATTTTGGACAACTAGAACTCATAGTGGTCTGAAAAGGTTAGAGTTCGGTCTACTCATTACCTGCCGGTCTCCAGTTATCTACCGGTTACCGGCCGGTCTAAAAGTTGTACCGGTACCGGACCGGAACAGATCGACCGGTAACCGATACCGGCTCCATCTCTGGCTTCAGCAGTGTTTTTAATGAATGAGTGCACCCAGCAAAACAACAGATACAGTATTTTTAATAGGAATCTAAAATAGAATGTATAAATACACTGTATTTTTCGAGCAGGGTGTGGGTGTGGGTGTCGGATGTGGTGTGAATGTGGGTGTGTGGTGTGAATGGTGGGTGCGGGTGTGGTGTGTGAGTGGTGAAGACGGTGGGTGGGGGTGAGTTTCGGTGTGGGTATGGATATTCTCTTAATACCCACAACAACACTCCCATATACACCCACATGGCACAGCCACACCATCCTGCTTCTTGTAAACTGAATTTCTTTCTGCAAATATGCTTTTTTGTCTTGTTTATGACAAAATCTCGTGTGTACTTTACCTTGAATGTTTTACGGTTGACATGTGAAATCCGTCGCAATAGAGTGTGTAGTTGAAAAGAAATAAAAAAACGAGAAAAAAGAAGCTGAAGACAGAAGACAATGCAGCTGGTGTCTGTGAGTGTGACAGTGGGTGTGAGTGTGGGCGTCGATGTGGGGTGCAGAATGTCGGTGTGAGTACGGATATTCTCTTCATAACCGTAACAACACTCACACCCACCCACCCACACCCACACCCACACCCACATCCCACACCCTAACCCAAAAAATAGATAAAAAAATGTTTGCTCAAACTCGAAATCATCGGCACCTTATATAACATTATAGAAGAGGTTGTAAAACGAAGAGAATCAATTATTTCTATTGTATCGAAAATGATCTCTTTTATAAGTTTTCTTGGTTTTCATTTCGAAAGAATAAAAATTTCAAAAGATATTTATTTTATCTTCGTATAGAATTATGTTTGAATCATAATAGTAAATTATTTCAGTTGAAATAATATTTGAAGAATATATTCAGAGATAAAACAAAGAAATCACATTCTATTAGCATGTATCGAATACCCAGGCCGAGCATTACAGTGGCCAGAAACGGCCGTATACGGTCGTTTACGGCGCCGTATTTCCATGCACCGTATTACGACCGTATTTCGCCGTGCCGTAAACGGCGTAACAAGGTAACCGTATACGACCGTATTCATAACAGGACCCGGCCCCAATGACGATTGATAAGGCCGTATACGCTACCCTTCACGACCGTAACACTGCCGTATAAGGCCGCATAAAACCGTAAAACGCCGCATACGGTGGCCGTATACAGTGCCCTGAATGAGCATCATAGCGACCAGAATCAGCCGTATACAGCCGTTTACGGTGGCGTAAACAGCCGTATACGGCGATTTTACGACCGTATTTCACTGTGTCGTATACGGCGTAATACGGCGGTCGTGTACGGCCGTATTCGGCCGTAAATTCACCGTTCTGACACTTTTTGAGACTTATTGAGACTCATTGAGACTTTTTGAGACTTATTCAGACTCATTGAGACTTTCTGAGACTTATTGACACTTTTTGAGACTTTTTGAGGGCCCAAAGAAAAAGATGTTTCGAAAAAGTTTTGAGAGGTTTTCGGCCGAAAGAGGACTACTTATAATAGTGTGAAACGGTTGAAAAAAAGACTCGACGGGGAGCAGTCTGGCACCTTGCGAGACTTCTTTGGAGTTCTTCTGAAGATTGCGAATAGGTTCAAAACATTCTGTTTGAATGCTGTGAAGACTTTTCTTGTGACATTTGCTAGCGCGGAAAAGCTTGAAAAAAGGTCGTATTCTAGGTTCCAGAGACTTTTTCCAAGAACTTTCTGCGAGGCGGAAAACTATGAAAGCAGATGTGAAAAGACCATTAATGATTTTTTCATTCAAAGGCAGGATTGTATTCTAGTGAATGCTTGGGTTTGGGGATATTCTCTAATGGAACGCTTTGCGTTAAAAACAAAACGCTCAGGCATTACGGTTTCCTTTTAAATCGGTCTTATGCTAGAACACTTCTTTAAATATATACGAAAATGAGGCAGGATCCTTCCTCAGAGACCATATAGCAACCTTATCAGAAAAGCTATCCAAACGACTACACTTCAATAACCGCAATCGGTTACTCATCGTTCTTGTTCGTGGTTCTTTGTACACCTCAACAGCACATACCTCGGCGTGCGTGTCTGTATAAAAACAGCAGCGGGACTCAAAAAGACGCAAAAACACTTTTTCTTCGTCAAATCATCCGCTAAACATTCGATTGATCAAACTTTTAGCTCCGACATCATTCTCAACTGAAACGACCACCAGCACGTGGTGCAGCCATTTATATAGTAGGGTGTCAGACTCGATCAGACTACAAAAAACTCTTTTCTGATCAAATGATACTCTTCAAAAATCCATTGTTCATACTTGCTACTCATACCTAACACTATATGCAAATGACCACTAAGCCGTGCTGCAGCTTCTTATATAGTAGCAGTGACACTCAAAAACGCTAAAAAAGACTCTTTTTGATCAAAATACTACTTCACAATATCCATTCTTCATAGTGGTCACTCATACGTAACTCTCAATTGAAATCACCACGAGCACCTGTTGCAGTCTTTTATTTAGTAGGGGTGAGACTCAAAAAGACTAAAAAAGACTCTTTTTTCATCAAATCATCCGCTAAACAATCGATTGCTCATACTTGTTACTCATACCTGAATCTGAATTGAAATGACCACGAGCACGTGGTGCAGCCCTTTATATAGTAGGGGGTGAGACTAAAAAAAAAGACTCTTTTTTGATCAAATAATACTCCTCAAAAATCCATTCTTCATACTTGTCACTCATACCTAACTCTCAATTGAAATGACCACGAGCACGTCGTGCAGCCCTTTATATAGTAGGGGGTAAGACTCAAAAAGACTATTTTTTCATAAAATAATACTCCCCAAAAAATCTATTGTTCATACTTGTTACTCATACCTGAATATCAATTGAAATGGCCACGAGGACATGTTGCAGCCCTTTATATAGTAGGGGGTGAGACTCAAAAAGACTCTTTTTTGATCAAATAATACTTCTCAAAAATCTACTGTTCATACTTGTTACTCATACCTGAATCTGAATTGAAATGACCACGAGCACGTGGTGCAGCCCTTTATATAGTACGGGGTGAGACTAAAAAAGACTGTTTTTTTGATCAAATAATACTCTTCAAGAAAATCTATTGTTCATACTTGTTATTCATACCTGACTCTCAGTTGAAATGACCACGAGCATGTGATGCAGCCCTTTATATAGTAGGGTGTCAGACCCAAAGAGACCACAAAAAACTCTTTTCTGATCAAATAATGCTCTTCAAAAATCCATTGTTTATACTTCTTACTCACACCTAACTCTATATTCAAATGACCACTAGCGCGTGCTGTAGCTCCTTATATAGTAGCGGTGAGACTCAAAAACGCTAAAAAAGACTATTTTTTGATCAAATACTACTTTTCAAAATTCATTCTTCATACTGGTCACTCATACGTAACTCTCAATTGAAATCCCTACGAGCACGGGTTGCAGCCCTTTATATAGTAGGGATGAGACTCAAAACGACTAAAAAAGACTCTTTTTTCATCAAGTCATCCGCTAAACAATCGATTGTTCATACTTGTTACTCATACCTGACTCTCATTTCAAATGACCAGGAGCACGTGGTGCACCCCTATAGATAGGGTAAGGTGGGCCTCCAAAAGACTGAAAGGAGGACTTTTTAAAGGCCGAGTAAGAGTGCTGGAAAATCGATTTTTCGCACATGTTAGTGAAGCCTGGTACGCAACTAGTATGAGGGCTAACGCGTTGTGTCGCCCTATATTAAGTGTAGGGTGAGTCTCAAGAAGACCGAAGAAAAGACTTTTTGTAAGTCAAGTAACGGTGCTTGAAAATGGATTTTTCTGACGTATTACTCACGATGTGCACTGAGCTCGAATAAGGGTGAACAGGAGGGGTACCCCGATATATAGGATAGGGTGAGTCGGAAAAGAGCTCAAGAAACACTACTTTTCGATTAAGGTACACTGCTGGAAAGCCCGAGACTCTTTCTCGATCTTGTGGAAACGCTACTTTTGTTAGCTGTCGACTGGTATACGTCATGATGAGGATATGTTATTGATATTGAATGATAGAAATTCACCGACATTAACGATCGTTTGCGATGAAGTACAATAACAAATAGCGATTCTATATCGAACGAATTAGAATAGACAAAGACGGTGCGTCACGACATTATGCGATGAACGTATACAGTCGGCATATTGTTACAGAAGTCGTACACGGTGACTGTTTATGGCTATCGTTTACATCGGCCGCAAATCATCGTAAAATGTCGTTTATGATCGCCGTAAGGGCTACCGTGTACTGCTCACGTGCACTGTGTTTTACGACATTTTATAATACCAGCGTAAACGGTCGTCGTGTTGTCACGCTAGTCGTTCCCGGCAATACTTTACGGTCAATGTTTACAATTGTCGTAGCATGCCGTAAAGCATCAGGTACGACTGTTGTAAACAGTCACCGCATACGGCTCACGTATACGATACGTTACATTGTTTTTCGACCAAAGTATACAGTCACCGTATTGTTACGGTAGTAGTTTACGATGAACTTTTAAGGGCACTGTGTACGATTGCCGTAATATGCTGTAAATCGTCGTTTACTGGTGCCGTATGTGGCTAACGTGAACAGTTGCCATTTTGCGCCGTATTTGGTTAGTGAACGGTCGTTTACTGTCGAGCGTGATTGACCTTGGTAACAATGATAGTTGTCAATGTTTTTTGTTTTGTTTTGTTTTCTTCAAATTAATTGGCTTGGAATGAAAGCGAAAAAAATTTAAAAAAAAACAGTAATTCATCAAACAAAACAGACGGATGTATGTCATTGTGTATGGGGATATATATAACTGAGTATAAATGTGCAATAGGCACGAAGAAAGAAAATATGAGCTATAGTTCATTTGAAAGTTTACCTGACGATATTCTTTATGAAATTTTTGGTTATTTGTCTCCGGTTGATGTTATTCAATCATTTTTTTTTCTTTCAATAAACGTTTAAACAGAATCATAGTACATGAATATTTGTGGCATATTCGTATTGGTGACTCAACAATGTCATTATCAATGTTCAATAATCATTACCAAAATGTCTTGAAATTGATAGTAGATTGTGTTGTTTCATTACGGCTAATATTAATCAATGTTATTGGTGGATGGTCACTCATTTCGTCTTCTCTTCGATATCATCAAACAACATTGCTTCAACGTCTACATCTGATCGAGATTAAACCACATGAATTTGACAAATAATTGCGAAATCATTTAATAAAGCAATTACAGTATAACCTCTCTATAGTGGACACCCAAGGGACCTTGTCAAAGTGTCCACTATACGGAGGTGTCCACTTTCGGGAGGTTTTCAATATTTTGTTTTGAAATAATTGCTATAGTGACTAAAGTCTATCCTATCCACTTGCTTGAGGTCATTTTGCAAGGAAATATGTTCAGGGTAACTTCTCTCGTCAGTTGCTGAAAAATTCCAATATCAACGGTTTTTTTTGAAAGAGTCAGTGATCAAATTCCTTTTGCACACATTCCAGTCAAGATAGACGTCAGTCATCTTCGGCTAGATTTTCTGAAGAGAAATCGTATTTTTTTGTCATTTCACGAGTAGATAAATGAACATTTATTGAATTCTTTTTTTCTGTTTTCTGGTCGGTCTTCACGCGATTGCTATTCTATTGGAGGGTGCATCGCACATTAGTGTTGGATGTACCAACTAGGAGCGACCATTTACCGTTTCTCTGAAAAGCAAATGTCTCATGCATTTTTCAAAACATTTATGTAAATTGTTCTGAACTATCAATTTCTGATCGCAATGGTGTCACCTTTCCGTTGGTATAGAAAGTATAGAGATGGAAGTCGTTTACGAATAAAAAGGAGACACAGTTACTTTCCAGGGTACCTTAAATTGCTATCCATAGCACCAACACATATCAGACTTCTACTTGTCTTTTATTTAAACTCCACAGTCATCACTTACACACGCCTTTTCTATGCCTAATTAATTTTTTCTCGCCCTTGTCTCGCTCAGTAGCTCATCTAAAATTAGTTTATGTAGTGCACAATTACCAAGCACAACTGCATTCGAGGAAAGAATGTATGTCCCAAAACTGGAACAGAAAAATCTAGAACATGAAAACTATGGAGGCTACAAATTTAGAAAGAGAAAAATCTTGACTTTTGACATACAAAATAGATTTTGTGGTGCGTGAACTTTTCGCAGATGTTTGGGTTCGAGACTTTTTCGAATTTTGAGATAATACGGAAAAAAATGTCGTGAAATTAGGAAACTGTCCCCATTCAAGAGGTTCTCTATTGTGGACGGGACCGGGATAAAGTGTCCACAGTCCAGAATAGAGAGGTGTCCATATTAGAGAGGTTCATTTCCAGCAAAAACAGCTCGGGGGGACCGGCTAGTGTCCGCGATAGGGAGGTGTCCACTTTAGAGAGGTGTCCACTTTAGAGAGGTGTCCACATAGAGAGGTTTTACTGTACATACTTTATTAGTTGATATAACATCATTTAATCCATTCAACTATCTTCAAGTTGAAGGAGTTTATCTAGTTAAGGTACGTAAACAATTATTTCTATTCACTATGGGATTCAGCTTTCCTTTATGTTAACAATAATAATTGATATAATTATGTAATTATATAATTTGATTTTATTCATTTCATAAAAGATGTGTTCAAGAATGCCTCTTGTAAAAATTTGTCGACTTCCATTTAATTACGATGGTAGCAATATCAATCAAAAAGAAAACTTTTCATTAGGATATCAAATGACTTTACCAAAATTATTAAATACAAATCATCTTCGTACATTGACTGTTGGTATACATTCGTCATACTTTCTTCAACGTTTACTATTGTGTATACCATTTATTGAGAATCTTTCTTTTGGCATAAAAGATCGAGATATTAAGGAAAACGATTTACATGATAAAATCTCGTAAGTAACATACTATCGTTTGTAAAAGTGCCAGTTAAATGAATTGTTTTAGAATGCCTCCCACTATTGATGGTCATATTCGATATCTTTCTCATCTCTCTATAAATTGTTTGAATAGCATTAGTTTCCATCGAACTATTGCACTTTTATCATCTGTGCTTGGCCAACTTTGTCATTTGTCATTAAAATTACAAGCATGTACATTAATTTCTGGCCCATTGGTTATATCAGGTGACATAGTACAACAATTATGTATTGATCGCCTTCAACCAATGGCAACCTATAGTCTTAATCTATTATTAAATGTTGAGAACGACTTGGAAGCAAAAATGATTTTCAATTCGTTTTTTAAAGTTCCATTCACTCATCGACAACGGCCGAGGGTATTTATTCAAGAATGCAATAATATGGATAGCAGTTATATGTTTCATTGTTTTATGGTATATACTTTGCCATATAAAGACAAAATTCTTCCATCGTACATATTCTCTAAAGATCTTGAAGAGTATATAAAACATATTTTTTATAAAAGATCTAGATCAATAGAAATCTTTTTCTTTTTATTAAGATCTTGTCAAATGCCGACTCACGCCATAGATTTATTTCCGCGTGCTAATAAATTATCACTCTATGGTTATAAGAACAGAAATCGTCTTCAAGATCTCGGCAACTGTACAACTTCTATATCATCATTAGTTCCGTGGTCATTATTAACAAATATTTCAATCAATCATAGCGATGTTATTACTGTAGCCACATTACAGTCCATATTATGGATGGCTTACAACGTGCATAAACTAAGAATATTTGATGATAGAGGAATTTTACTGCGTGGAATATTACATAATAATGATAATCTTGGAACCCGTGTCAATCAACAAGTAAAAATCTCTATTTTAAAATTATTTTTCCTGTAGACTCTAGTTTTGACTGATATGTATGTTTCATTTGAAGAATGTCTTTTCTTAAAATTTATTAAAATTGAATGTTGAAAGAGAAAGATTATTGTAAAACATTTACGCTAATTATATAACTAAACGATATTTTCACTTTGAGATAAATTGTATTTTTTATCAATTAGTTAAATCGTTGGACATCTACGATACAGCTTGGACATTACAAAATGCTGAACGTTTTTGCACATTATTGTCGAATCGATTTTCTAACTTGAAGACACTTTCAATTACTATTTGTGATTCATATGATCGATGGAAATGGAGACCATCTCATATTATTGACGGAAAAAACAAATCAACAAAACGTATTCTTAGTATTATTTATTTACTTGTTGATCGTTTAACTCAACTTGTTTCGCTTTATATCTATTTTTTCAATGAGGCTTTCTCTGATACACCTTGTTTTCCATATTTAATCCGACGACAATTATATCAATATCCACTTAGTCGACCTTATCGATTACGATGTTCTTCCAATATAATTCAAGTCTGGCTTTAAAGATACTTTCTATAGTTATTCTTAATTCGTCATGTAGATTATATATATTGAGTGAAGAGCACAGCCATTGTACCGTTGTGTTCCGAAAAGAAAAATGCTTATAAGTCGAGATCCGCTCAATCGATTTTAATAATTTTTTTTTTATTTTACTGGTCTCAGGATGATCATTCACTTCTGAAGAAATCAAGTTCCCACGTATTTTATTTTTCGAGAAATTATAGCAACAGTGTTAAATACCTAGCTTCTAATGCCACCTGTCAGAAGAAAACCAATTTTTTTTATTCCATTGCTTTTTTTTTTAAATTAATTTTGCAGCTAGAGTTGTAGTATTCATCAAGAGCTTTTAGAATATGCCTTTATTTTTAGCTTTAGAGAAAGTCTTATGAATGAAAAACTGTCGCTAATGGGCGTTGGGACACTTTCCTTTTTGCGTAGGGCGACATTAAAATCATTGGCGTTTCGTTTGGAGAAATTTTTTTTGTTGTAATTTGGTTGAATATCAGAGAGAACTAAGATAAAAATAATTTGAGAAGTAAAAGAGGTTTGTTCCATAAAGTTCGTTAGTGCAAAAATTTTATATAAGATAAAAAAACATGAATTTTAGACGAAATGTAGGGCGACATTTTTAATTTTGTTTTTGCTATAGCTCAATGAATACTCAACCGTTTGCGACAAAAATTTGACCTTTGTTCAGGCTCATAGAGTAGAGTAATACTCCAAAAACTCAATTGAAAATATCGTTCCGTTCTGGAGAAAATTCAATTTTACTAGAAAAATGTAGGGCGACATTTTTCGAAGCAATGGTTCACTAAAACTGCTTGATATATGAAAATAACATACATGAGCTAGCTCTGTGCCGAGAATTGTTTCATACTAACGTGTATGATTAATAAACATTTTCTGACTATTTTCTTCAAAAAATCATTATTCTGAAGTAAAAACCATTATCATTGTGTTCACTTAGTTTTATATCGTGAATCTCCACAACAACACAAGGAAGTGTTGGGAAAATATTATTTTCATGTACAATCGACATCGCTCTGTCAAACGCAACACTTAGTTCTCTCTCATTATTAAATTTATTTTGTATCGATTTTTTTGCGTAAACGGTACAATGCAGAGATGTCCATCGCGGCTGAAAATCTGCCGCTGCCGCGCCACGGCCTTAGAAAAAAAAAGCTGCCGCACTGCAGCCGCACCGCGACGGCTTATAAAAAAATGTTGCCGCGTCGCGATGGCTTATTAAAAAAACGTTGCTGCGCCGCTGCCGCAATGAATTATAAAATAAACGTGCCTCCGCCGCGCCGCTGCCGCGGCGGTTTACAAAAAAGTGTTTCTAATTTCACTGCTGCGACTATATTTGACCAGAGATATTGGTACTAATCCATCAGATTCATTCAGTCTCGGGGTGTTTCATTTGTAAACCCTGAAATTCTATTAAATTCATGCAGTTTTTCAATGTTCCCCAAAAAAATCCTGCCGCTGCCGCGATGGTCTTTTGCAAATGAGAAATTGAAAGATTGAAAGTAAACTAATTTGTTTTTGATTTAATTTCAAGTAAAGTCAATATTTCACTGAAAGGTTTGTCTTTGAAGATGATTAGATCTAAAATCATAAATTTTTCTCGAGACATGTTACCTGATCTTCTGGTAAGCCCTTTTTTAATTTTAAAGAAATCATTATAAGGAATTGAGAAATGAAGACGAGTCTAGAGTAGTACCCGGCATGACCATAAAACCGTGACCAAAGAAAAAAAGATTGTCTGATTTTAGTTTTCATGTTGAATATGACAAAAATACTTTTGATTTGATCTTTTGTATTCAGAATTTTCTCCTCTACAAAATGATATGGGGTGTGGGTGTGGGTGTCGATGTAGGGTGTAGGCATACACAAAATGGATACCGTGACCCATACTCTACCCATACTCACTCACACCCACACATACCCACACACCCACACATACACACACACCCACACCCGACCCACACCCGCACCCAGACCACACGCCCTCGAAAAAACGGATTGTGAGAGAACAAAGATCGCGTGAATATTGAGTGTACTACATGTTGTTTGTTTAAACTTAAATAAATAATTAATAACAAAAGGACTACTACTAATTCACCCTGGTCTAATTAATTACTCGTTGGAATCTGGCTCATAAGATATGAAATTGATATACGTTGTCAAGCTCTATCTGGAACCAAAATTTGTTTTCTTGCAGCCAGCTTAGAAGCGAACCGTGATGAATTTCCCGAAAAGTAAATAATAAATAAGCGCCTAGTAAGTGTCTTCCAATTAGTGGATAACTGGGATATAGCTAATGAAATGCGGAATTCATAGAGCTCGTCTAGTTCTATTTGGAACCATGAATTGTACAGTTGCCATCGCAGTGGAGCGAACCAGAGCGGGCTACACGTCAAGAGCCGCCTAGGGACCTCATTCGGCCAAATTTTCGAGGCCTCGAGTGCCAAATGGAGTTCCTCGCGTTCACTCTGTAACCGCTACTCACAATGTCCGAACGGCATGGGAGCGCATCGCGACGGATTGCATTGAATAGCGCTCGTCGAGTCCTCTCTAGAAGCACATTTGGTATTCTTGGAATCAGCAATCTAACGAATCGCGACGGGTTATACTGAAAAAAGTCACATCGGGACCTGGGTTGACCTGGGTGTGGGGTGTGGGTGTGGGTGTGGGTGTGGGTGTGGGTGTGGGTGTGGGGTGTGGGTGTGGGTGTGGG